TGGCAGAAGCCTGTTTTGGGGGGTGCTATGGATGTTTTTTTAATTAAACATTACAGGACTATCAGTGCTATGAGAGGGATCTGCAGGGGAAGATGCTCCATAGTTGGAAGCGTTCTCTGGGTAGATCTAGGACAACAGAGACAACCTTTATTGCCTCAAAATCAGCTGGTTCTGTTTTACTCTGATATGCAATAAGACAGGGATGTTTTCCTGGGAAGCAGCAACGTGACGTTCTCATGTATTTTGGGATGCAAGCCCCAGGATGTAATAAACACACAAGCTGTCAGACAGCAGCCAACCACTGAGAGCTGTGAAAGGGTTGCTTCATTCAGAAGGCTTTTGCTTTTGCTTTGGAAGGACTCATTAACGAGAGTTTTGGAGATTCCTGTGCTATCTGCAGTGACACCCTGTGGTGATGAAGCAGTAGTTTATCTATGACCCTATTATCTCAAAAAGCCAGAGAAGTTCTGCAGTGACTGTCCTGCTACCTGCAGTCAAGGGCAGGAAGAAATAGATGGCTGAAAGGTAGTTTTTCCTGGTAATGAGTAACATTCCTTATAGAAGATAAGATTATATGTCTTTTGCTGTTACTGGTATAATTTAGCCATTATTACTCATACTGTTAGCATTTCTAAAAGTGATTTCATATGCATACTGCCTGGCTTTAGCAGAAAATGACTGATACTATAGCTAAAAATATAAATTGCATATGAATAGTAATCCAGTCTAAAAATTAAGGAGAAACCATATATACTTCCAAGAGGAATGCAGCATGTATTAAAAGAGACCTAGTGTTGTTAACAATTGTACCATAGAAGCAAAGAACAATGGTTTGAGTTGGAAGGGACCTTTACAGGTCATGTAGTCCAACCCCGCTGCAACAAGCAAGGGCACCACTGGATCAGGTTGCCCAGAGCTCTGCACAATCTGAACTTGGCTGTTTCCAGGGATGGGGCACCTACCACCTCTCTGGGCAACCTGTTCCAGTGTTTCACCACCCTCATCATAAATAAATAACCTTCTACTGTAAATCTACCCTCTCTTAGTTTAAAGCCATTACCTCTTTTCCTATTGCAAAAGGCCCTGCTAAACACTCCGTCCCCATCTTTCGTATAGGCCCCCTTTAGGTACTGGAAAGGCTGGTGTGAGGTTTCCCCAGAGCCTTCTCCAGGCTGAGCAACCCTAAATTTATAATTTAAGTTTATTCATTATTTATATTGCATATTATATATGTAATTAATATTATTTATAATATTTGAGTTTATTTATTTCTGAGTCTATTAAGTTCCATTGGTTTTCTTCTGTTATGGAGCAGAGTACCAAAAAGTGTGGATTCTGTTCTCAAGGACATACTGTTTCCATGGGACTTACCACCATTGGTGTCTGACTTGCCTTTTTTTCTTTTAACAAAACCCTACTTGAAATCTGTACTCGCAGAGGTTGTCGTGGCAAGAAGGCAAATCCGACTGCATTCAACATAGGGATTTGCTTAGCCAGAAAGGAGTACTTGACTGGTGTAAACCAGGCATCATGTTTCAGCCTGTGTCTTTCCATTTTCTTCATCCTTCCATTGCTTTGCATCAAATGCATATGGTTTTGGTTTTTTTTTTTAGTTTTACTAGCAAACAGTAAAAATTGTTAGGTATCTGATATTCCATCTTCATAATTGATTCTTGAAAAGCTTGGGGTTCAGTTGGCTTTTCAAGTCAGCAAAATACCAAGATCAGACTTTTCAAAAGCCTTTAGGACATATGTAACTGATGATTCAGTTAGTCATCTTCAGGTGAAAACACAGCTGTGGGCTTTCCAGCTCAGCCTGGAAACTGCAGCCATACTTGGCATGAAGGCCTCCCCAGGGACGTGATGAACTGTGCCCATTGGTGTAGTATATTCAAAACTGTGTAACACTTCCATGAAAGTGTTTTCATGCAACCTTTCTCCACTCGTGACTTGGTTAGGCAAGGAAGTCTGACTAGAGCTGGTGAGGTAACTGGGGAAATGTGATCTAGTCAAAGGGCCAAATTTGGGTAAGAGGGAAGGACAGAAGATTGTAATAGACTAAGTGTTGAGGAAAGACATGAAGAGAACAAGACTATGAGACAAGTAAGACACAAGGAAAAAAAGGATGTTATCACCTCCCTCTCTGCCTTCTCCAATAGGCTCTGTCTCTATATGCAAGTCCCAGGAACTGGAACATCAGCCCTCAGCTAGAAATATCTAGATGCCTTCTTGTCACCATGAAGGAATTTACTGACTTGGAGTAAAATGCATCTCTTGTCCTA